GAGAGATTTCGGCTCCTATAGAACTTATCAGTGTCGAATTTCATCGCTGTACTCGCATTTTTAAGCCAGTAATGAGCGTTAAAGTATTTTTCTGATGGGGACCTTAAATGGGGGTAGGTTCAATTATGGGCCGACCCCCACAACATTTTGTAGAGAGATGTTAGCTCATAAAAAACTAGTTTTGTCGAATTTCATTGATCTACTAGTATTTTTAAGCCAGTACTTAGTTTTAAAGTAATTTTCTGAAGGGGCCTTATATGGGGGATGTTTTATTATAGACCGATCCTCGTAAAATTTTGTAGAACCATCTTAGTTCATACAGGTCATGTTTATATCGAATTTCATAGCTTACTCGTTTTTTAGGCCAGTAATGAGCATTAAATTATTTTTCTGATGGGGACCTTATATGTGGGGGGGGGGTCAATTAAGGGCGATCCACAAAAAATTTGGTTAAGAGATTTTGGATCGCAAGGAATTTCATGTCGAATTTCAGGCTATACTCATATTTTTAAGTCAGTAATAGGTTAGGTTAGGTTTACACAGGTAGCCATTTCGGCTTTACTTGGGTCCATGCTGATCCCTTTGTAAAAATACCTTGTAAGAAGAAGAAAAGAGAAGAGAGGGAGAGATAGAGGAGAGTGAAAGAACAGAGACATTTGCAGAGAGAAGAAGAAGATGAGAAATGAGAAAGCCATGGGCAGCTGCCGTGGATGAGTAGTGTGAGTAATAGGATTCACACCCATTTTGACAATTAATGAACTCTAGAAGACGTTCTAATTGAATGTTTGACAATTCGGTTAGATCACCAAAATAGGCGATCCAAGCGTCTGAAAACGGGCCTCCGCCAAAGCAGGACAATCGCAGAGAAGATGAGTAATAGTCTCTTCTTCATCCTCATTTTGACAACTCCTACAGTAGTCGTTGAACGGGAGACCAATGCGCCTAGCATGGTTCCCAAATTTACAGTGGCCAGTGATTATTGATATCAGCCTACTTAACTGCGGTCTTTGGAGACCAAGAAGATATTTAGACCTTTGAGGATCCATTTGTGGCCACAGTGCTCTACATGTTGAGCACGTGTGTTTCACGCGACCATTTGTCGCGAGCGATGCAGAGGCATTTTTCACTGATTTGCCTCTTAAACTGCAAGTAGTGGTATACCGCAGAACTGATCAATATCCATTCTGCTAAGCATAGTGCCAGCTCTTGCCAATGTGTCAGCAATACCGTTGCCATACGAATTCCCATGTCCCTTTACACAGATTAGGGTGATGTTCGAATGTGTCGCCATCTCATTGAGAGGACGTCCGGCATTCATGGACAATTTTGGATGTGGAGAACACACCAGTTAGGGATTTAATAGCAGCTTGACTATCAGTATAAATTCTGATATCCCTATTAGATATCCGATAGTACCTTAGCCAATACCCATTACCGCCCTCCTTATCGCCGATATTTCAGCCTGAAGGATACTACATTCATCATTAAGTCGAAAGGAGATTTTCGTTCCAAATTCCTCAATGAAAATGCCACCACCAACTCCTTTCGTCGTCTTGGATCCGTCTGTATACACTCGGAAGCAATTATTCGGGCGGAAGGAGAGATTCCTCATACTCCGAAGATATATGATATTGGAACTTTCTCACTAGAGATGGTACTGGAATACAATAATCAACAATGTACTGATTATCCGGTATAAGATCTATGATCCTAGCATGGCCTATGGAGCATTGTTTCCATTTGCCAGTTACACTCAATCTGGCCGCAGTTGACATAGCCAATTTCCTTGCAAGGAGATCGACCGAGAGCCAGTTGAGCATAGTGAACAGCGCCTTCGAAGGAGTTGTTCTGAGAGCGCCTGTTATAAGAAGCGCAGTTGATCTCATTACTTTTTTCCAGTTGTTGTCTGAGTGAAGCCTTTTCAAGCGCGTGCCACCCATACAACAACCCCATAAAGCATAATAGGTTTAATAACTGCCTCAAAGAGCCAGTGAACATTCTTTGGATTTATGCCCCAGCATGTTCCTATAGCCTTCCTACAAACATATAGTGCCGTAATGGCTTTAGATGCCCTAGAGAGTACATTTGTACTCCAAGATAGTCTCTTATCTAGGATAACGCCAAGATATTTAGCGCTGTCCGAGAGTTTTAATACTTCGCCGTTAAGGCAAGGAAGAGGAAATAAAGGAATCTTGTATTTGCTAGAGAATAGCACAAGTTCCGTTTTACTAGGATTTACACTAAGACCACATTCGACACTCCACGAGCTAATGATCTTTAGTGCTTGTTCTAGCCTTTGGGATATGGTTTCAAGGTGATCGCCTGATACCGCAACCGCGACGTCATCAGCATAGGCGACTGTTTTATAGCCAAGAGAGTCAAGTTTTACCAGAATATCATTTATGTCCATGTTCCATAAGAGTGGTGATAGTACTCCCCCTTGTGGAGTACCTCTTAAAGCTTTACTAGAGATTACTGTATCTCCTAAGGAGGATTCAATGATCCTATTTGAGAGAAGACTCTCGACAAATCCCACAACTGACCTACCAAACCCAGCCCGAGATAGAGATTGGCAGATAGATGCAGGATTGACGTTATTAAAAGCGCCTTCTATATCAAGAAAGGCAACCAGTGAATAATTTCCATACCTCATGGATTTTTCAATATGACCAACGAGAGTATGAAGAGCCGTCTCAACAGATTTGCCCTTCGTGTATGCATGTTGAGAGGCAGAGAGAAAGGATTTATCTATCGAGGTCCTAATGTGGATATCGATTATCCTTTCCAATGTTTTCAGCATAAATGATGCCAGACATATTGGTCTGTAATCTTTTGCCTTAGTGTGTGAAGTTTTTCCCCCTTGGGAATAAAAATCACATTACACTTGGTCCATTGAGTAGGAATGTATGACCAAGAGAGACAGGCTGTGTATAAGTTCCGCAGCCAAGGAACTACAAGATCTATATTGTGTTGAAGATCTGCAGGAATAATACCATCAGGGCCGGGCGCTTTGTAAGGATCAAAGCTTTTAATTGCCCAACGGATAATGTCATCTTCAATAGGCACGTGTGTTACAGTCCGCATTGAAGTTGGAGAGAAATTAGTCAAATCACTAATTGGAATACAACCAGGAAAGTGAGTACTAAGGAGAAGCTCTAAAGTCTCCTGACTACCTGAAGTCCAGCTCCCATCCATTTTCTGTATATAGCTAGGAACAGAAGGGGACTTTGACAAAATTTTACGGAGACGACTGGTTTCGGAAGAGCTTTCAATATTGCTACAGAAAACCCTCCACGAGTTCCGCTTCGCATTCCGAACCAGATTTTTAAACTTATTAACGTTTGCCTTATAAAGGGACCAGTTACCTGATCTCTTAGCCTCGTTAAAAGAACGGCGGCATGTCCTTCTCATGCTCGCTATGTCAGGGACTCCACCACGGTGGTTTGTCCTTTTTTAGGCCATTGGATAATCTACAAGATCTCTTCGTGGCAACGCTCAGAGAACTAGCAATCCAATTTGCAGCCAAATCAATATCCCTTATGCTCTCTACCGTCGGAGCAGAGGGAAGAATAGTACTCAGAGAAGCTTTGTGCCTCTCCCAATTTGTTTTCTTTCTATTTAGAAAGGGTTTTGAAACTTTGACCTGGACCACTATGTCAAAGTCCAGGTAGCGGTGATCAGAGAAGGAGCAGTCATTGGAGACATTCCAATCTTTGATCAATTCTATGTAGTTTGTACTAATAGCTGTAATATCCAGAACTTCCTTTCTGTTTGTCACAACAAAAGTAGGTTCTGAACCTCTATTAACGACTGTCATATTAAATTCTAATAAAAAGTCAAGTAAACACTCACCTCTACTGTTGGTGTCTGAACTGCCCCAGACACTGTGATGAGCATTTGCATCAGCGCCAATTATCACAGGAACGTGACGCCTATTTGCTTCGCGCATTAGATCTCTGACCAGGTCGTTTGGCGGTTGTTCACCATGGTCCATGCGCCATATAGCAGCTAAGGAGCCAGATGGTGGAGTTTCCGGTCTCAAGTGCCGCCGCTACCGTATCCTCATCGCTGTAATCAGATAAGATGAAGATATCTAAATGGTTTTTGGCCAGAATACAGGCTCTAATATTTTTAATATTACCTGCAGGATTTGAAAACAGAAGTTTGTAACCTCTGAGAGATAGTCCAAGGATTTTGCCGTGGTGGGTCCACGGTTCTTGGACCAAGATGAGCTCCTCCCCTCTCTCAGCCATCCGGAGGAGCAAAGCAGCTGATGCTGCTTTGGAGTGGTGAAGGTTAATCTGGGTTACCTTCACCATCTCCGAGATCAGGATCGTACACGACAGTGACGTCGACGTCCTCAGGATCGGAATCCTGCGAACTGTCTCCATCCTCCGCTAACTTCAGATTGCCAAGAAGCTCACCCATTATACCTGTGGTAGACTGGGAGTCTTCTTGGTTCTCAGAACCAGCGGGATCGTCGGCCTTTCCATTATCCTCCTTGGACGGAGCCTCCGGCTTAGTACCAGAGGCGGCGGCGCTGCGTTTGGCGTCACTGCGATAAATGCGAAGGGAGATACTATCAAAACCATAGTAAACTTTACCTCCGCATTCACGCAATGGCGCCAACGTTTCCTTGTTAAGGACAACAGTCGCCTTTCTGACATTTCCCATCGGGGCGGAAACCTTCACCACCTTCCAATCATGGGTAGGTAGATGAGGATTCCGCTTTGTAGGAAAGCCAAAATTTCCGCCGGGTCATGTGGCTCAGTTGGGATGGTGGCAATTGATCTCGGCCTGCGAGGAATTTCGCTAACCGGGATCACGTCCAACCTTGCACCTGGCCACACTTCCCCAAGGGATTGAATAGCTAGCTTGAGCAGAAGCGCAGAGCGCTCATTTGAACAAGCTAGCAGCTTAATGTGACCCTGGTACCAACCAGCATCATCGTTTTGGGGGGGCGGGTCCTGGATTCTCCTTGAGGATCTTCCAGTACACGCCTAGCATCTTCTGACGGATAGTCCCCCATTTTCCTGGGAGATGGCTCCGTCGCTGTTGCTTTGGTCAACAATAGCCCTTACCAGTGGGTTTCTAGCCACCTCACTGAAAGGTCTATTGATGACAATGGTTTGCGCCTGTTTTTGACGTTTAGTCGGCTGGTCGTTTGGCATAGAAGTAAGGGTCTCCTCCTCAGATCGTTGCCGTTTAGGCGCCTCGGCAGCAGGTCTAACCACTTCTGCCTCAGCTGGAGGATCGGAGCCCTTTAGCCTAGCCAGGAGGCTTTTCGCCCAATCGAGGGACGATTTCTCATCTCTCGTTAAAGCATCGTTGGGTTTGGCGACATGACGCTCAACGATGCGCTCGGCGGCCCGCCGATGAACAAAAGCCCTTCTGGAAGGTGTTTTGTGCCTGGGGGAAGACTCTAGGGATACATTGGAAGAGCCCGACAACGAGTTCGACGACTTTTCCAATGTAGGGGGAGGTGCAGCAGAGGAATCCGACATCGGGGTCGACGATTCCACATTCGCACAGGGCACTTGGGAGACCTTGTTGTCACCCGAAGATAGGGATTGAGCTGACTTTGAATCAGCAAGGGCTGCTTTTGCGGCTGCAGAGGTACTCGCCACGACAGGCAGAGGTACCTCACCGCTGGGACCTTTACCCACACCCGAAGGCTTAGTGGGCGGTTTTGGTTTACAAGCAGCCAGCTTGGGCCGGCTACTTGCGGTTGTTGTTGTTGTTGTTGCTCCAGAAGCTCGCGGAGTAGTCAAGCCTGGTGCTACCACCTGACTAGTCCGGACGCCAGTCGCATTCGATTCACCACAGCCCGGTGTCGCCGCTGTGGGAATAGGGTCTCCGGATATTATCAAGCCCCGGACCGGATACGAGGGGCATTCTTTCTTCTCTGACATTCTTGGGGGGGGGGGGGGGGTGGGGTTTGTTGCATTTTTGGCCTACTGCCAGGACTATAAACTGCCGTCCCACTGGGAGCAAACAGACCATCAAGCCGTCCAATCTGGAACAGACGCTTGATGGATTTCAGGACTTGCACACTTAAGTGCGTGAATCAAATGATTCAAAACGGACTTTCTCTTGATTGCCCTGTCTCAGTGACAGGAGAAGCAAATCAACAGATCGTTACTAACAGACCGCCCAATGTGGGAAACAGACATCTGTTAGGTGGGAGGGGTAGTTCTTAGTTTCGTGCTCGTCTCATGACCCGTCTGACAAGGGTGACCCCTAGGAGGCAGCCAGCTCAAGCAAAGCTGTCTCCGTCAGCATGGCCCATGAGATTCATCGCACTTAAGCCTTCACATCGCGACAAGATGACTACCCTTCGTGAAGGTAAGTCAGTAATGGTCCTTAAAGTATTTTTCTGAAGGGACCTTTTATGGGGGTAGGATCAATTATAGACCGATCCACATAAAATTTGGTAGAGAGATTTTGGCTCGTATAAAACTTACATCTGTAAAATTTTATCGCTGTACTCGTATTTTTAAGCCTGTAATGAGCGTTAAAGTAATATTATGGAGGGGACTTTATATGGGGGGTAGGGTCAATTATGGACCGATCCACATAAAATTTGGTGGATAGGTTTTGGCTCCTAAGATACTTACTTATGTTATGTTCTATGAAATTTCGTTGCTATACTCGTATTTTTAAGCTGGTAATGAGCGTTAAAGTAATTTTATGGAGGAAACCTTACATGGGGGGTAGGGTCAATTATGGACCGATCCACATAAAAATTGGTGGAAAGGTTTTGACTCCTAAGATACTAACTTATGCCAAATTTCTTCGCTATACTCGTATTTTTACGCCAATAATGAGCGTTAAAGTCATTTTCTGAAGGGGACTTTATATGGGGGGTAGGGTCAATTATGGACCGATCCACATAAATTTTGGTGGAGAGATATTGGCTATTGTTGGCATGAAACTTATGTGTGTCGAATTTCATTTTTAAGCTAGTAATCAGCTTTTTAGTCATTTTCTAAAGGGGACCTTATATGGGGGGATATGGTCCTATGTCCGCCATAATTCAGAATTTTATTTCAGAAGTCAAAAAACTGACCTATGCGAAATTTTGTGATATTTGCTTCATAAACAACGAATTTGTGAATGTTTGAAGCTCTTTACACAATATTCCGGGGGGTACATTTGTATGGGGGCTATGTGAAATCGTTGACGATTTTGCCCATTTTCAATACCAAACATTTCTGATCAATAAAAAATATTTTGGGAAAATTTCATCTGAAGTTTCTAGTTCTGTTAGTTTCCCAGTTATACGAATTTTTATTTTAATCCATATGGGAGGGCTATGTCCCTTTTGATAGTCCACAATAGGGGTATGGTACCTCCCAAAATTGTAAAATTGTAGGATTCTAGATTCAAATATTCACATGTCAGAGGTGTAAGCGCAAAATTTAAGGATTTTAGCTCTAATAGTTTCTCAGATATACAAATTTTTGTATTTAATTCATGTGAAAGGTTCCAAGAACCCCAAATGAATGTCCGCACATTTTACTTTCAAATGTTCATTTTTATGTTAATTTTAGGATTCTACCTCTAATAGTTTCTAGATAAACGAATTTTTGTATTTAATTCATATGGAAAGTGCTACTTCCCATATTGCTAGTCCGCAAATTTATTACCCAAATGTTAAAATGCAAAATTTGAGGATTCTAGATCTAATAGTTTCCCAGATAAACGAATTTTTTATTTAATTTATATGGGAGGTACCACGGCCCATATTGCTAGTCCGCCAATTTTTCTCCAAAATGTTCACATAGATGTTAAAGTGCTTCGTGCAAAATTTAAAGATTCCAGCTCCAATAGTTTCCCAAATAAAGGATTTTCGACTCGAATTTCTTTTTTGCATATAAATCATTATACGAAATTTGTTCTTGATCGGTCCATAATTGGTCACAACTCAAATATAAGGATCATTTCCGAACATTACTTAAACTCACATTGAAATCAAAGTCATCGGGATAAAATTCGACATAAATGTGTATTTTGTATATATAAATCGTTATACGGAATTTTACTTCTGAAAATCACTTAATACCACCTAATTCATTATTAAATGATTATATCCAAATTAAATTCGACATGAGTATTATGGTGGATCGAAAATAGACTTTTCTCTCGGATCAACTTCTAATAGTGAAATTATGTTGTATTTTAACGTCAAATGGAAGACTGTAAAAAATTATTCAATTATTTTGAGGGTAAGAGCCCGCGCATCGCCGCCGAAGTTTGTAAATGCGTTTATATGGGAGAAAATTACACTTTTTGAGTTTTTTTTTTCACAAAATGAGGCCTTAAGTATTAATTTTATAGCAAAAAAAATCGAAATTTACATCATCAAAATTAAGCAACACTTGGTAATAATATAATTTTTACTTAATTATTGGCAAAAATTGCCTTTTTCCGAAATCCTTCAACTTCACATCGCAGGTACGCTAAAACTATGAGAGGTATTGAGCTCATTCTTTTTGTGTTTAATTCTTATATATATATCCTTTAAAATATCCAGTATAGAAAGCTTTAATTTTTTAAAATCCATTTAAAGTTTGAAAATGGAGTTTGGAGATGTTGTTAAAATAATGGCCCTTTTTGACCACAGACTAAACCGAGTAAGCGTTATCCAATTAGAACAAAAATTCGTATTAGCATATTTATGAATCTTATAAAGATAAACATATTTTTTTGTAAAATTTTTAAAAACTAAAAAAAATTATATTTACTTTTATGTTATTTCAGAATCAAAAATTCTCGGGCTCAAAACTCAAAACTTTTTTAACCAATTTTGAGTTTTTCTATCTTTTTAGAAAGACAATTTTGTAGACATTATGATTTTGCTATAAAATGGTGCAATAATTAATACTTGGAGCCTCAATTTGTGAAAAAACACCAAAAAGTGCCATTTTCTCTTATATAAACGCATTTACAAACTTTGGCGGCGATGCGCGGGCTCTTACCCTCAAAATAATTGACTAATATTTTACAGTCTTCCATTTGACGTTAAAATACAACATAATTTCACTATTAGAAGTTGATCCGAGAGAAAAGCCTATTTTCGACCCACTCTAATGAGTATGTTTGTGTATAGATAAATCATTATATTAAAACTAGCTATACCCAGTGTGCTTTGCTACCCTAAAAGCAATATAAATAAAAAATCTTCTTAATAATTTTGAAGATTCTAACTGTAATGTTTTCCAGAGATGCATTTTTTCCGAACGTTAATTAAGATTTTAATGTAATCGATGACAAATTTAAAAAAATCTAATATTTTCCCAGATATACGAAATTTTGTATTTAATTCATATAGGGGGTGCCAAGACCCCTTTGAAAGTCCGCCCGTTATTCTCTAAATGTTCACATTAACGTCAAAGATCTTCATGTAGAATTTGAAGATTCTAGCTCTAATAGTTTCTCAGAATTTTCGAATTTTTCTATTTAATTCATGTGGGAACTCACAGCCCCCAGATGAAAGTCCGCCCTATTTTTCTCCAAAATGTTCATATGTATAATAAAATTCTTCTTGCAATATTTGAAGAATCTTGTTCTATTAGTTTCCCAGATAAGCGAAATTTTGTATTTAATTCATATGTGACGTGCCAAGCCCCCCATTGAAAGTCCGCCCGTCATTCTCTGAATGTTCACATGAATGTCAAAGTTCTTCAATTAAAATTTGAAGATTCTAGCTCTAATAGTTTCTCAGATATAATAATTTTCCTATTTAATTTATATGGGGGCTCCAAGCCCCCATGACGAAAGTCCGCTCTTTTTTCTCCAAAATGTTCAGATGAATATTTAAGTTCTTAGTGCAAAATTTGAAGATAAAACAATTTTTGTATTTTATTAATATGGGAGGTGCTGCTCCCCTCATGGGTAGTCCGCCAATTTATTTCCCAAAATGTTTACATGGATGTTAAAGTTACTCGTGCAAATTTTTAATATTCTAACTATAATAGTTTCCAAGATAAACGAATTTTTGTATTTAATTTATATGGGAGGTTCCACGCCCCCTAATGCTAATCCGCCCACTTTTTGTTTTGAATAATTATATTGATACTAAAGTTGCTCCGACAAATTTTGAAGACTCTAACTATTATATTATCTCAGATATACTAATTTAATATTTTCTTAATATGGGCGTGGCACGTCGCCCACATGAAATTTCAGCATAAAAAGTAGCCTATAGTTCCTTCCAGGCATACAGGAAGAAACTGTGAAAATTTCAGGAAAATCGGTCCAGCCGTTTAGCATACAAACACACTTTAATTTTTATATATATAGCTGTTTGCAACTGGCCTATTAATATAAAATTTTATGAACCTAATCAAAATAAGTTCCAAATATGCATAAATGTTAGTACCCTCACTACGGAAACAAAAATGTCAAATTATCTAAAAATTAGATAGTTAAATGAGTTTTAATAAAAAGTAGCTTGCTGGTGGAGGGTATTTAAGATTCGGCATAGCCGAATATAGCACTCTAACTTGTTTGTATTTAATTCATATGGGAGGTGCCACGCCCCTTATTGCTAGTTTCTCAGATATACTAATTTAAGGTTTCTTTATATGGGAGGGGCCACGCCCACTATAGCTAGTCCGCCCATTTAACCCGATATGTTCATGTGGATGTCAAAGTTGTACATACAAAATTTTAGAACTCCAGCTGTTGCAGTTTCTGAGATATGTATGTGATTTTATGCATGTGTATGTGCCCACATGAAATTTTAAAATAAAAAGTAGCCTATAGTTCATTCCAGACATACAGGTAGACACTGTGAAAATTTTAGGAAAATCGGTCCAGCCGTTTAGCACTCTATAAAGTCCAAACAAACAAACATACATACATACAAACACACATTCATTTTTATATATCGAGCCCTTTTCGCACA